GTTAAGAAACTATTATGCCAACATACATCAAAAGTAACACCCATTTTGTCTCATGTGAAAAGATTTTCATAGAGTAGTTGTGCAGAAATGAAYGTTTATTGCTGCTTCTCAAGGCTACAAGTCCTGCGATCAATGTACATATGCCATAGGATGTGATTACTGTCTTACGAGAGACAGAAAGGAGGTGTACAAAGGAAATTCTTTTTCTTCTCGACTTTTGTATGGACCTAAAGAGTAAACCTCCATCTTTGTAAACTACCTACATTGAGAAACTATTTTACCAGAGCCCTATCGAACTGCAACACTTTTTAGAAAAATATGCTTTCCACATAGGCTCTAGAACTAGTACAATAAGCACATTTTTCACTGCTATTTAACAATATTTCTTCTGTKTTTGGTCCATTACAAGCCATKTTCTATCCTTTCTGTCCTTCTCTATCTCCCACAAGGTCCTGTCAGTCCTAATTTCTTGAACTGAAGGTTAATATTTTCAGTCATCAACTATTCATGTTTGCAGAAAAAAATCCTGTTTGCTCAGTTTTGTGATCCGGAACTCAGAGGTTACCATTTTAATCATCAAGAATGCATTTACAGAGCACATTTCAGACATGACAGAGTTCTGCATTAAGAAAGAATTTTTAAAGCATCACATTTCAAAGTGATAATTGTATTTACTTCATTTATATTTATAAAGCAACATATTATATCTTATAAAAATATGTGCTGTTTAAATAAGGTTATTAAATTGCTGTAATTACCCTTAAGAAACTTAAACAATCCAAGATGTGGTATTGCCTTTAGTCAAACGAGCAAACATGTCAAAAAATATTAAGTGTAATGATTTAAAGACAGAGGATTTGGAAGAGTATTGCATACCTGTTGAACATTGATAAGTAACAGTGCCAAAAACACTGATTCCAAACCCCTCTCTTTATGAAAAGTTCTCACTACCATACTTCTCTTGCCAATAAAACTGTCCATTTCTAAAGCGCGCGAGTTCATTCCCATCTCTGTTCTAGTCAGCCTCAGAATTTAGTTTTAGTTTTCACATATCAGGACTTTCAATCAGCTAGTGACAACCAGAGTGCTAATATATTTCCTCATTATCAAACTTCTTGGCTGTTGACGTTCTATACAGCGCTGGAGTGGCCCAGAGACGTGTGACATGCGTATAAATAAATGCTGAAACATAAAGTAAAAGCAGCCTTCTGGAATACTGCCTCTGGCCTTATTTCAGGGAAGCTTTTGTTGAAAGTCGCCACTTTAAAAATTACTTCAATTAAGTTTACTTTTTAACTAAAAACATTTAACGTAGGTCAAACTAGCACAGTGAAAGGGCTTTCTGAAGACATGTGGTGCCTTGTTTCAGAGTCCATCCAAGTCCTATTCAACTCCTACGTAAATAAAAGACAAAAGTTCTTGTATATATTTATCATGCAGATAACAGCATTATTTTTCTCATTTTAGAAGAGTAATTTTTGGTAATTTACTTTCAAGCTCTTCATACTTGCCTTTAAGTAGAGTATTAGAACTTCGATAACATTCTCTCCCAAACTTTGATTCTTTTTATAAATAGCAGTTAATATGTTATTTATTTGTGGAGTGCTAGTAAGGAATTTTAGATCTGCATTCCTTTACTGAGAAGCAGACAAAGCAGAACAGGGGGGAAAAAAAGTGAACTGAGATTCCTTTAAAGTTTTAGTAACATGATTAGAAATACACAAAGACATAGACATTGGTATTTGTGAATAGACAGTGAACAATAAACTAACTGAGCTGGAATTTCTTCCTAAATCCAATTTGGGAAAACATTCCTAGCTTCAACAACTGTCCCATTGTTTCTACAATTGGTTCTCACAACATCATACATCTTCATACACCTAACTGGCTATATTCTCCTTATGATATTTCAAGATGGAAAAACAAAAAGAATGTGTGCAATTTTGCAGTCTTTTTTTTTTTTTAAACCATTTAGTGTTCATGAAAGATGAACTGACTGTCTTGAAGAAAAAGAGCTTGTTGATGCACACAGCCTATACTGAGGAAAAAAAAAAAGACAGCATGAAGAATATTCAGACATCATGTAGTCAAAACTAATAGACGCAAGAAATAAGCAAAACATAAGAATAATTGCACTGCCCTGGCCCTATAGCTTCCCTGCTAAGCTTGTAAAATAACTTGTACATTCTTGATTCTACATCTTTGAATATTCACATCACGATGGATTTCTCAGCTTAAATGAGGCTTGAAACAGCAATCTGTTTTCTGTGATATAATTTCCAAAAATTATTGTCTTATCAGCACCCAAATCTTACAAGGATTTTTTTACCTAGGAAAAAGCCTGACTCATCTTCAACACCATATCTTTACCAACCCTGGTTATGTCAGTGGTTTTAGGCAACAACATAAGACTCTCCCCAAAAAGTCAGACCACACAGGATATGTAATTGTCAGTCTCGTCAACAGCCACCTAAATGCTGTACTTAAGTAGAATGATAAATAATCATGATTCCTCTTTCCAACACCTCAATGGTTGGAAGGGGGAAAAAGTACATTACTTATGAATCAAGTAAACAGAGGCACTACTAGCATTTCCCAGATAGTCCTCCACACTTTAAAGTAGACAGGCATGTGATTCTAAAGAAGAAAAACAAAACAAAAGTTATTTGGATGATAGGTTTTAGGTACATAACATCTATAGGTCACAAATTACTACAGGCAGCCCTTGAAACAGCTTAACAATTTGTGCTAGGGAATAATTTGTCACTGCATCAGTGAAATCCATTTGTCCAGAACACAGTTCTACAACAACCACGTGAAAAAAGTTTCAGAATCAGCGAGGTGACTCTCGACATGACATTCCATCTCTGCTTGGGAGTTTGACACGCCAGGGACACCTGGAGAGATGCAGGCCTTATCTCAAACGACAGACAGCAAACAAAATGCAAGGCATAAGAACGAGACAACGAAGTCTAGTAAAACAAAGATTGAAGAAGTGAATATAGGGAAAGGGAAGAAGAAATAAAAGATTGACAAGGTCAAGACTGAAAATGGCTAAATGGTAAAGAAGAGACAAAACTTTTCTATTTCTACTCAGCAGTAGTATCATGTTGTTTACTTTTTCACATCATCTTCTATGCTGCAAATATATTTTTTTTTTTGTATGTCTAGATGTTTTTCTGTATTTCCAACTCAAACATCTCCTGAAATACAATAGCCTTTCTTCTTTCTCCTCACTAAACAACTTCTGCAAGAAAGACAGGAACCTCTTCGTAAGAAGACAGGTTGCCATCCTGGTTTGGAATGTCTGCTAGAAGACTATTATAATTTAGCATATTAAAATATGTTTGCATATTAAAACACACAGAAATTAGTCTGATTATACGGAGAATACAGAAAATAGGGTATACAGTTGCGAGTTTAAACACCTAACTATTATCTCAATAAGATATAAATGCAAAATGTTGTGAAGAGACTTATTTTTATGAAAGCTTGCATAATTAAAAACACTATTTACCAAAGTCATTGATAAACAATTGTAACTCTATAACTATAACAGTTATTCACTAGAAACTAGTTTTATATCCCTTCTTACTACCTAAGACTGCATTTGTCAATACATTAAGTAAAATCACCTCCAAAACATACAATAAACAGAAAATTACGTCTGCTAGTAGAGAAAGCCAAACAAGACATAATTATTAAGTGTTGGTTATATGTATATAGAGTTAAAATGAAAAATGTCACTTCATCCTGAAATTACCAATATCTAACTAAGAGACTTATTAAAATAAGCCTCTGAGGAAGCTTTAAGATTTCTAGGGCTGAAGTGGTTAAAGACGACAAACAAACAACTTTGCAACAATTACACTATTGGTAATAAATTTTGACAGATTTGTTTAAGGAGACATTTATTCTCCTTAGTAACAGTAATTGCAAGAATTTAGAAATAAGCATTTGCACAGTCAGTAATGCCTCAAGAATAAATTTGTATTTCTGTTTTGGCTACTGAATAGTTACCTACTTCTATCCTTTCTCAAAAGGCAGGAAGAGCAGCATTATTTCCTGTGCATGTACACAATTCAAAATTAATTTGTGAGAAATGCATTAAGACTCAGTAAAATATATGATTTTTACAGTGTGAGAAATAATACTTGTGGCTGTTAATGATTTTCCAGTCACAAAAGCCCTACCATACACAGCACGTACTGTCCCCTTTAATATTTTACAAAGAATTTCTGCAATCACTGTAGCTACAATACTTATGTTCAGTCAATTTTGTTGTAAGACGTATTAGAAATCTCATTCCTCTAAGAGTTTTGTTCTTGGACCTTCCAACAATTCAGGGTTAGCAAATAAAGAGAATTAATGAATACTTTAAACAGCTCCCTCATGACAAGGTTTCTCTAAAGTTCCCATCTCAAATAACTTAAGCTTATTTAATTTAACAGATATCTGAAAGTGTTTGAAAAACAGGAACTGGATTAGCTAGATTACATGAAAGAAAAATAGTAATTTTAAAGATGACTACTACACAACAAAGCTTGAAAAATATATGAAAAAAACAGAAAAGAAGCTTTTTGGGACCTAATGGTACCTAGTGTCAAACACATTTTAAGGCTTTACATATATACACAGCTACTAGGGCCTAAAAATAATGTATAAAACCTTCAGAACAAGAAACCTTAACAAAAAAGGCTAAAGATCAACTCTAAACCAGCTTTCTTACCTGAAGTAAAGACTACCAAGAGAAGAACTACCCCCCTCAATCCCCTATATTCCCAAGACTTAAAAACCTACTAACTACTCTCTGCAYAGTTGAGCCACTACTGTCCTGTACTCTTACATTTGCCATTTGCACCCAGCTGTATGGAGTTAGCATTACTTAATTTGAGGTCCAATAGTCTGTGCAGCTGTGCATGGTTAGAGAGTACTGGGTGATGGGGCCCTTTACTATTACAAGGCTGCTGGAGACAGCTGTCGGTGCTTCAGGTTTCAAAACTTCTTAAGGGCTCTAGAAAAGAGGTAGCCTTTGTAAAGGTGTAGGATTTAAGGTTTTATTAGAAACTCCAAATATTGCACTTTGTTTTTTGTATTTTATAATTATAGTTCTTGATTACAGACAAGTAAAGTTTCTAGTCTGGTATTTCAGATAGCTTTTAGAGTAAAACTTGGGTAGAGAGCTCTTGGGAGCAAGTGAGCTCTCTAGAAGAGTTCTTGTTATAGCATGTGCACTATGCCATAATCATAGTCTTTTTGTCATATCCTTTTTGAAAAAAGAAGAGAATATATTTTGCATGAAAAAGCTCCAATAGCTGTGGTGATACAGTGTCTGGGTGGATATCTGGACAGCTTCAATCGTAGCTTTCAGTTCAGAGCAGATCTCAGAAATAATTAAATATTCAAACAGTGAGGGAAATATGGAGGAGTTCCAAGTTAAAAGAACAACATAGGAAACTTATGTTTCAATTTATATTTTTCTAAGCTTTATTTCTATGCTTTATTTCAACTTATACTTTATATGCTTTAGAAATTCAAAAGAAAATTATCCTAGATCTTCTCAGGCTACCCAATAGGCTTAGATGTCTCAGATCTCGGTCCTAGGTCTAGGACCTAGGCATCTAGGTTGCTCAGCAATGATAAAATAATTCTGATCAGTATTTAAATCTTGGTGATTTGATAATTAATTTTCTGCTAGTAAAACTAGTAATTTAAACTTAAAACATTGAGAAAATATAGTGTTTCCTGAAATGTATATATTGTTTGGGGTTATTTTGTTGTATATATTGTACTGGTTGTTTTCCTGTGGTATTCAACTCTAAGAATCTAAGAGTCTAGTTTTTACATCCTACCTGAGTCTTACATTCAAATGAAATTTAAATTGTAACTTCTAAATTTATTTGTTCAACCCCTGTAGAGCACTAATTTGAATCAAGTTTTGCACTCTCATCCCACTGTTTAATGACAACAGACACTTCTTGTTTTCTGTAGACCTATGAACAACCCAGACACCTGCTTAAAAGAAGCAGGTTACGAGAGAATTCTAAGTCAGATCTGAAAGAGGTCAAGGAATTTGCAAAGATCAGTCCACAAAATATGAAAAGGGAAAAAAGTCAGATATAAAGATTAATTGGGTTTAGTATAAACTGTTATATATGGAATAAAGAATGCTAGGTTGGACAACTCCTTAGTAGTAGGAAAGATATCTTAGTGATTTTCTTGACATAATTAAATTGTCACAGTCACTTTTAAATTACCATGTCACTTTAAGAACTACACTTTCTGCTTATTATCTTCCCAGCTGAGAAGCAAAATGAAAATCCTGATTGTTCTCAGTCTTTATCACATTTATTAGAGTGTTTTGAAAATACTCTTTGTAGTAGCTACTGAAAGCTTGTCTCAGAAGAATCAGAACACCTTTCTAACTTATATGATTATGCTAAAAAATTTTTTAAAAAATAAAATATTGCAACTCAGAAATTGAAATACCTGTTTAAGTACCTCATTTCAGAAAAACAAATTCTTTTTTTTCTCCCATAAGTGCAGCCAATGAATAACTAGTCTCACTTTTTTTTTTTTTAAGCTCATATAACCCCCAAATGTACAAAACTGATCCTGACAGGAGCACAAACAGGAATTATGCTTCATACTTTTTGCAGTTCATCAATTTGTCATTTTTTTACCACAGTATATTAGCAGTTTATAGGATGTACCCTAAAACTCTTCTTCAACTCTGGAAAGAAGGGAAGTGACTTATAAATGTAATAATATACAACTGTTTAGATGTTTTTAGTTGATGTAAACACTGCAATATATCTATAGAATTCCCCCCCCTCCCCCCCTTTTTTTTTAAGTAGCTATGAGTATGTGTTCTTTCTGACAAGATTTAGGGATTGGACTTTGGAGTTTGCCACAAACTTGATTCAAATATTTGCCCTGGACTTACACAGTTACACAGTCTCTTGAAGCATGTCTAAGCGTGTGTCTTAGCTTTTGTTCTATGGTTTATACAAAAGCATTCAGTACATAAAGTGCCCTATAGTGTCCCCTCGTGGTGCTCGAGCCTGGAAAAAAATGCAGTCTGTGAGAACTGTGTCCATGTTGTGTATGAGTGACCTCTTGAGCCAAGCGAGTATGATTACAGCAAGGCCACAGGGCAGAATTTTATTCACTTTGAAAATCAGATGAATCAACTACACTTCTCTCTAATGATTGCAGATAGGTTAGCATGACTTGGTCAGGCTAAAGGCGAAAAGATCTTAACATAGTAATTTTCCCCCATCTGTTGCTGCTACCTTATTTTACAACTCAAAAATATCAGTAGTATTGCCTAACTATTACCTATGACATTATCTAACCCAGCCAGCACAAAACAACTGCTGTTAATTGCTTGCGTTGCTCTGAAGAACTTACTAGTTCCACCAATTCTGATAATGTACTGGCAGGCTGGAAAGTCTTGGGGAGGGGAAGGGGAAAAGAGGATCTTGTGGCTTCTGCAATTGTGTGCCTTTTTTTTATGCTACAGTTGCTCTTCTTGTCTGCTTCATGAAGCTCTGAAGTAGAAGAAACGACTGGAAGTCTTTTGCATACAGAACTACATCAGGATGGTAAGAAGAAAATTAAACATGGGTACTGTACACACTTTTTCATTTTTGTTCCTCTTCTTGAAATGGATGTTTCTATTATTTGGAGAACGTTTCCATTTATCAGTTTCCCTTGAGAGCATTCACATTCACTCTTCTTCCTTATAAAATCTCTCATGCCATATTCAGCTAAGTTTTATGATTTTTCATAGATTCTAAAAGATAAGTCTGCAGTAGATTCCTAATGCAATTCACTGTGATCTGTTGCTCCCAAGGCTCAGTAATACTAACTGCCTGATGGCTTAGCTCACTTTCCCCATTCCTTTTCTGTATTTTTGCTATTGTCCTACTTTCCTCAGAGACTGCACATTCTACAGGAATATTTATAGTATAGAAACTGATCTAGTGAAGTGCTTAAGCATGTAAGTAGTGCTTAAGCATGTAAGCAAATATGTGTTTAAGTCAAGAGATCAATGTTTGGCTTTTTAGCATACGCTCAAATGTCAAGTTCTAGATAGACCTTATATAATGGAGACATTTCATTCATGCATGAAAAGCAAAGACCATATATGGAACAAGAAATATCATCTCAACTAACATATGCAAGCATACACTATAGTAATAATTATTTCACTAAATGAAAATGCAATAACACACAAGCTCAAAACACAGCTTTGAAAATATAGTTCAAATAAATTTCAGACTGGCTACTGAAAGACATATAGTATGCAACGGCATAGTAGTTACAATGGAACAAAACCAAATACAATTGGTTTACTTTTTCGGCCAATATTAAAAAATACCAAAACAATGACATGGCTGTCATACTGCTTGAGCAGAGTCACGGTTTTGGTGATTATGCGCCCACCCCCTCTTCGGTTTGTGTGTATGTGTTGGGGGGTGGTAAGCTTCCTGACCTGTTTGCAAAGCTCCTGATGAAATTCCATTGTTTACAGTAATTTAGATGCAGGGCTCGTCTTGGTTTAAGAGCTCAGTTGACCTCAGTGTAGAGGAAATAAAAGCTTGGTGTCAACACTAAGCTGTTGGGATGCAACTTTTTCCACTTTGTAGACAAAACCAACTGAACACATGAGTTTCTATACATCATCTTTTGACCCTCTAAAAAATTCATCTGCTTGATATTTTGCTTGTCTGGGATGTATTTTCATGGCATATTCAGATAAAGATCTAATCTTTTCAAATTCACAGTTCTGTTTATTCTCTGTGTGCTTTTTAAAGGCTGGTCTCAAAGGATGAGTTCAATTACAGTATGTATGAAGACACTGTTTAGTGATGGACATGAATTCTCAGGCTTAAATACCAACAAGACTTGTACAAGGGCCCGTATCAGTAGCAATCATGACAACTTCATACAAACCAGAAATAATTTCAGAATGTTGAAAGATTTTACAGGAGAAGATATGAAGACATTAAAGCAGGACACGCATTATGGGAAAGTAACTGCCACATTCTTATCAGTAAATGTTGAAAATGTTTGAAAAATTACTTAGTCTTTAGACTAAAGAACTTTTTGTAAAAGTTCATAACAGGGAGCTACAGATTCTTTACTGTCCCAATAGCAATTTGTGGAGACAAATTTCTCTCAGGGATATCAAATATTCCCAATTGACTTCAAATAGAAAAAAAGTTGGTGGAATTGCTAAAACTAGAAGTATAATCTACCTCTGTGTATTTTAAGCAATCACACTAGCATTGAGGTTCAGATCTGTAAAGTAGCAAATACTGCCCATGAAATGCAGGTTAACCTTAACTCCTACTTAATTTAAAAGGAAAAGAAGGCAGTGGAAAATAATAGTTATTCAACCCTTGCTGGTACTGCAAATGTTGTTATAACTCTTGTCAACATTYGTTAAGAAAGAACTACAAACAAACAAAAAAAATAAAATTTAACAGTGTTTTCTAATCAAACAGAACCAAATGTACAGAAATTTAACTACAAAATATCAAAAGAAATTCTGAAATGGGAGCCTTTTCATGTCTTCTCAAAATCCCCTACACAAGAGGGCATCTGTGTAATGCAGGGCAGATCTAGACTTAGAAAGTGTTGTTACCTCATAGCATAGACCCCCAAATCCCATTGGTATGTGCTTGGGGAGATATTCTAATTAATTAGCAGCAAAACACAAATACCTTTACACCTGATGCATGCTCTTCAGGGGTAAACCATGAATTCTTTCCCTTAGATTGCTGACCTGCCAGTCACATAGAATACTGTTAGAGCCAGTTCTGTTTCTGCAGTATGGCCCCTAAAACAAGGAGGACATCACCTCCTAAGCAGAAACCAATGGAATGCTGTAGAGAACTGTGCAGGCCAGACCATGTTATCCCATTTGTTTTTTAACCACAGCTTGATCTGCAATTCTTACAAGACCAACTAGCAGACTGCTTCTCTACTGTGCCTCTAATGAGGTCCACTGTGCTATCTTTCCTAAGGTATCTTTGACAACCAAAGATGATGATATCCAGGATCTGTGGTATTTGCTAAAATGAATACACTCACCTGACATAAGGATCTGGGTTGCCAGCAACTCTGCACTCCAACAATACTTTGGATCCTTCGGCAACTTCCTGGCTGCGGAGCTTCTGAGTGAATCGAGGTGCTGAAGACTGGTTCTTGTCTATGTTGATGAAAGGTTGACAGAGGACCATTTCACTTTGCTGAGTGATATTTTTCTTTTCAGAAAAGCATTGCTCTCCATTGAGATGAGCTCCAGGTAATTTTGCCTCAGGTTCAGTCTCCCGAGGGGGCACGTCAAAATCCTGATTCACTAAGGTACTTATCATAGTTGGTTGTTTCTTCTTAGGAGACAGGTATCCGCTGTCAGGAGAAGAGGAGTCTCCATCAGGACTTCGACCTCTTGCCTTTGCTGCTTCTCTAAATATAGATGACAGTTCCTCAATGAATGTGGCAGCTTTGTCACACAGCTTGTGCCTAAAAGGCAGTTCTCCATGGGCTGCTGATTTGGATTTTGGGCTTGTTTTGGGCACRCTTGGACCACATCTCTGTGAATTTTTCAGGCTTCGAATAAAGCTGGGACTGGCAGTTAGCAAAGGTGAGGTGCTTGCTTGCTTCCTGGAGATAGTTACGAAACCAGTTGCTTTCTGAGGTGAGGTGGGCAGCTCCGTCCTATTCTCTGGGAGAATATTAGCTGGAGCAGATGAAGTCAGACTGCTTGTTTGAGGCCTCCGCAAAGCATCTTGCTTCTGCAGTTTGGTCTCCCTGAAAGAAGCATTTTCTGAAGGGCTAGAAAGAGAGGTGTTGAAATAATGAGTGATTTCTGGTGCTGCATTCTGATCTTCCTTCACAGAATTGGCAATGGCTTTCCAGGCTATGTCAAGGCTCTTATATATCTCCTCCTGGGTGAGGAAGGCAGAGAGTTCATTTGAAAATTCCCCATCCTGTATGTCAGATAGGGAATCATGGAAAAAGTCATGTGAGGAAGAAGCTTCTGATATATTTTCAGGATATCCCTCATTGGTGCCTCTCTCTGCACAGTAAGCCTCCTTCAGCACTAAAGAAAGAGGCAATGCCTGTCCACAGCTTCTGTCTTGCATGCTGGAAGACACAAATACAATTCCTTAAACTTGTCAATAAAAAAAAAGGCCTTTTATATCTTGTATCCTATGAACTGGACACAAAACAGGCAGATGAGCAGAGGCCTAGTAGTGTATGGAAAACCTATCATGAACCTTGGTTTCCTTTCATGAACCTTAGAACTGGCCAGAACTGCAAGTTACCTAGACGGAAATGGGGACTTTTTTCATGCATCATGCAGACATATAAAGATACCCTTTCTCTGTACGCAGGTTAGCACAAGCTCAGTTCTGTTTTACTGATCTGAGTAATGTATCACATCACTGCTATTATATCTTGCTTTTTCTGTGTTGTAGGCTTATAATGATTTTGGAAATATATTTACATTTCTCTCTTCATTATTGCTTTCCAGATTGCTGGACACCATAAATTTCAAGAAGAAAACAGTATGCTATTTGACATCATTATGAGAATCAACATATTTATAAGTGCCAAATACGTTCAAATATAAATTCCCAAATTATTCTTCCTGATAACTGTTGGCAACGTAACTCTCAATATTTTACTTTCAGTATTAGTATTGTAAACTTTTTTTTTGCTAGATACGATTTAGTAACATTCCTCCAAACACTGATGAATAGCGTACCAAACTACTATGTGTTGTTCCAAGTGTACAATAACATTAAAGGAATAGCCTTCATGATATATGTATCATTCTGTACCACATGAATGTGCAATGCATGTTTTTTCTCTTAATATTTTCAAGTACTGCTTCAGTGATAGATGGCTTGACACTCACGAGATGTACTCGGATGTATTTTACATGGGTTTGTGCTAGCTCCAATTACCTTGAGTCACTTCACTAGGGCTTCCGCAGCATGTAGCCATTAACTGACTGTTAGATTATTTGAATTCTTGGCCTAGTAGATGCATTTCTTGATATCTTTGCATGCCTTGTCAGCAGATTACAACTCATCACAGAGAAGAGAAAATAAAGTATTAGGAAATGAAAATGCTCTGGGATATCAAATGTTTTCATAGAATACATTGTTAGCTTTAGTCTTTGCTGTGATTATATCTTCCTTTCCTTTTATCAGTGCTGTCAGAGCAACAAATCTAACAACCCTGCCAATCTGTTGTCAACAAAATCCAAAAAAGTATATACAGTAGAACTGATTACCACATAGCAGCCTTAGAAAATGAATCTGAGAAGCCAAGCAAACAGTTGGTCTACAGACTCAGCTGTTAGGGCATAAACTGGATGAACGCCAGGAAATGATGGGTTAAACTTACAGAGTTTCTGTCTCCAAAATGTTAGTTATTTTTCAAAACTCTGTACTTAAATAAACAAAGGTGATAATTTATTATTGAGATAATCCTGTTATAAAAAAGTGCTCCAACTAATCTTTTTATTCAAATCTCATTCATTTAAGTTCCTAGCTTGCTCACATCTCAAAGTGATATATCCCATATTCAGATAAACTTTTGTGATTTCTGCCCTGTGCTGTTCTGTTGTTTCAGTAGGTTGTGGGCTGAAGAAGAAGGTGATGTATTACCATCCATTACAACAAGATGATTAAAATGAATACATTATGAATTAACACTTTCCTAATACTAAGTTTTATGATGTTTTGTTGCTTGATAGAGGAGAAAAAAAAAAAAAAAAGAAAGAAAAAAGGATAACGGCTGTTGTAATCTTTAAGATGTTGTAATCTTAAAAGTCCAGTGTCTTTCTTTAGGCAAACCAATCTATAGCCAAGTACTTAGATAAAGTAAATGAGTTTATATATGCACTGGTTATTGGTCATTTCTAGTGCTGATTAACTCTCTCAGTCTGGTGCCTAAAAGTTGAATGTATGTCCAGATTGAGCTATCTGAACGGAAGATATTTTAGCAGAGAAAAATCACTATTCTGTTAGAGTAACTTGTAATCACAGTGAAGTGGAGGTAAAATATTGCTAACTCTATCAAGCATATAAGAACATAATGAGAAATATCTAATGCTATTTCTGGCTTCTCTGCCTTAGAGTGCAGCATATTTATAACAAGTTTCATCATCATTACTCACTAGGTAATGTGCAAAGCCATATACTATATCATTTAAAGGCACAAACATAAAATACATTACTGCATGCAAATGAGTGCTTAGTTTTACTTCAGTGTTGTTATATATAAATTATTTGTATGGTCCGATTTTTAATATATAAAAAATTAAAAGTAAACATATTAGAATGTATATAAAAATCACAAAATTATATAGGTACTCTAATAATATCATAGCCAATTCAAGATGTACTAGATTATGGTTACAATCAATCAATCTACAGTTACAATCTTAAAAAAACATTTGAATAATTTATCATATTAAAGCACCCAAGAGATAAATCACAGAATACAGGAAAAAAACAGAAAAATCAAGGCATTCATTTCAACAAAGTATAAGCATCCTGAATTAAGGGAAGCTGTGCAAAGAAAAAATATTACCTAAAAAGTAACAACCTAGAACCAACCTGTTCAAAAAAGTAATATAAAGGAAGAAATGTATCTTGTAAGACTTATAAAACACAAAGGTACTCATTTTCCCCTGGATTTTAAAGTCCAACACAATTATTCCCTCAAACACAAACATTAATTTTAGCAGAAAACATAAAACAGACCTTATAACAAACAGGCCAGCATGAAGTATGAAATGGCAGATTAAGCTGCTGCTTTCCTTCTTTGTTTAAGGAAGCTTAAAGCTGTTCCAGCTATTCACTTGGTCCTCAGTAAGCATCGAGAAGACTGTAGCCTGTGAGTTACATCTGTCCTCTGTGACTATGTAATTCTTACCCCACTCATCTATATTTGGTAACTGAACTCATGTTTCAGTCGACGGCTACTATCTGGAATTCCAGGAGAAGCAATGTTAGGCCTGAAAGTGACATGAAGCTCTGTGCACTTGGGACAAAGAAATTCTAAGAACTTAATCATTAAAATGATTCCTTTTTGTTGCATTTAGCACTGTAAATCAAACCATTTAAAAACACTATTCTGGAGTTTTAACATGTGAAAGTTACTAACAAAGTGCTTTTCTCCATAAGGAGAAGATAAGCAACAGAAAATGGTATGACAGTTATGGAAAAGATAGATCCTATCCATGGCATTTTGCTCTAACCTATTTTTTGATAAAATTACTTTTATGTCAATAAATAAGACAATGGGCTTTCTCTATTAAAAGCAGCTTAAAACTAATAGTTTTCACATGTACCTTGACATCTTCTAAGAAAATAAAAGGCTTATTTAGTTATATTAGTGTGATACAATTTTGTACATAATTTAATGAAGTAATTAATGGAGTAATTATATAGCTCTAATCATATTACACTACTTGAATAAATGTAATCATTCATTTTTAACATATTGAATGAGGTACCAAAAGAAAATAAGCCTGCTCAGAAATCACATACACACAAAACCTGAAAAACATGTATGCCTCACAAAGAACCTAGAATGCACTTCTGTTTTTTTTTGGCCCTGTACAATGTAATGAGTAACTGCAGTCAACTTTCCCTGACTCTCCTTGCTAAGGAAGGACATTCACCTCACCAAGGACTTCTGCAAGAGTTTTGCCTCAGGAAAGAGAAATTTTCTGTCAGAAAGCACACCTATGTCTTTTCAAGTATATCATTTCCTTTGATACTCAGTGAAAGGAAGAGTAAACATGAATATCACCGGTTTAATCCACAGACTCTATCATAAAATTTCCAGAAGTACAAGCAATGTGTGGTTAGGATTGTTTCTGCCAGATAGCAGCAGCCTGTTTGCAGAAGTGAAATTCTCTGGAGTAAACAGGGGAAGCTGCGGCTCCAAGGGGATACTACAGATTTCTGTACCTTCTGCTAGTCTATTATGTCTGCTCTGTTATTTAAATTCTTTAAATTCTATTTAAATTCTTTCTACGGGCACTTCTTTCTCACTTCTCAGCTCAAGGAATTCTATATATTGCCCTAAATTTATCATTAAGATTTGTTCTTTGGCAACAACAGAAGTGCCCACCGATGTGATACAGGTGCACCAGTGACTGACCCATGATTCTTTATTGTGCCCAGTCCACCTTCATGACATACTGAGTGTTTTTATCAAACATTTTATTTCTGTGTTTAGTACAGTATCTTTCTTTGCATCTTCATATATGCAATTACTGTTCCCTAATCAGAGTTTCAGCAGATTAACTGATAATATTACTCCATAATGCACACTGACACCAGTCTTATACCTTGGGATTCTTACTTTGTTATTACAAAATTAATAAAAGGGATTTTATTACAAGTCATTTTACAGTAAGTTCAGCATGTCAAATAAGAACAGAATCATCATTTTAACAATTCCAGCTAAGAACTATACAATAAAAGAGTCTGTTATCTACCAGTTAACTACTGTATGTGTAATTTGTAAGCAGTCACCACTCTGAATGATATCCAGACCCTGCGCTGGGCACCCCGCCTCTTCCCTAAATGCATGAGAGCTAAGCACCTTGGAACAAGAGCCAAAAATAGCCTGTGTATAAACAGCAACGAACTGCCTTGGGCTATCTTCAGCATTTTCTACGGGGAGGGGGTGAATGAATTCCTAGTTCTTGGAATGATACGCTTTAAGTGTCATTTCTGGGAAGGAAATATAGTTGCCTGGAGACACTTGGAGATCATTTTTGAAGGATCAGAGCTTTAAAGAATACAACTGCACTGTTGGTTTTGTGTACATTAGGTGCAACTACTAATTTTCGTACAGCATAGTGGCAGAAATGCTTGCACAGAAAGTGGAAGATCTGGTTCATTTTATTCCCAGTTGCTTTAAGTATTACTGAAATACTRGTCATATTTTGCCAACTCTAATCAGGGTAAGGTTTTACACAGTTGCATTAAGCCATTTAGATTTCTATGTCTTTGTACAAAGATTTACAGAATACTTATATTCTTTGATCTATGACAAATCTGCAGCAATTTCATTTTTGATCACGGCTTTTTAGTTTTATTGCAAATGTAATGTGCATGGTCCTTTACTAAAAAGTGGTAGACAGCAGTAAAACACTATCAGCAAATGGCAGGAGAATAGTATTTTGGAACATTGGACATATATAGACATATATATTCCCATATATTGGAAATATATTTGGACACATTTTGAAAGATAAACACGATACAGTAATTTACATTTAAATGTTAAATGCAAAAATGAGCAATACGTAATTCAAATAGAATAAAGGATATTACACACAATAAGCTAGCTCCACTCCTGCTGCAGTACTACGTCAGTTCAGGTGATGAACCGAACTCCAGAACTATACACTTATTACTTTTCAATAAAAATTTGGTGGGGCATAGCTGAAGCTATATTAATAGTTTCTAATATCAGTCAGTGTTAAGTCATTCAAACCCGCATGTCACGAACTATAAAGTTATTCTGGGTGTACAAGCTTTCCTTTCCATCTGATGAAGAGGTTGCTCTATGCAAAAGATTTTCAACGTTAACTGAACTGTAAAGTAAATCCAAGAAGCATARCTCTAAAGTATAATAATTTATGCATTTAATTGAGAGAGAAGGAAAGCTCTATTATGGTCCCAAGATTATTTTGTATCTTACTGTAAACAGTTACAAGATCAGATACAAGTAGATAGGCAATACCCTTCACTGCCCACAAAATTCCTGCAGTGATTTTTGAGCTACACATATTTATTTTTTCCTTATCCTTGTTTTAAATACCCATCTCTGATAATTCTGATAATTCTGATAATTCAAAAAAAAAAAAAAAAATTACCTGTGCTTAAGTGCGATGGGTCATGCCAGTGTAGTGCAATTTCCCTCTGTATTCACAGTAATATAAAAACATGTCCAGTTTTGCCTGTAAGTGTATTTGAAAGGTCATTACATAGCTAGAACTAATCTTTATTTTGCAGAGTTT